GATAAGTCCTCCTCACAGGCACCCAACCTAACTATGCTTGCTGATCAGTTGCAAAAGTTAATCTCTCTCCATTAGCCTGGTACACTTACAGTATCTCCTTCAGTAGGTTCATTTACCTTAGGTCCTTCAGGATCCAAAGTCCAACAAGCTGATTGGGACACGTCGTAGAAAGGGAGGACTATATGCAACTAGCAGATTTCTTCACAAAATCGCATCCTGTCACTTGCTTTCGTTTTCTTCTTGGTAAACTCTTAATGTTTTCTGCTACCACATCATAAGTTTGAGGGAGGATGTTAGAGTAGTTAGGTAATTTAGACTTAGGGGTAGCTTAGTTATTTTGTTTACTTTTATATTACCCTAGCTTAGTCTGATTGTTTTCCTTTTGCCCTACTATATAAAGACCTTTTATATAATAATTTTCTTTTAAAGTAGTTCTAACTTATTGTGCGTTCATAATATCCTGTTCTTCTTTCTCTTACTTTTCTATGATTGATCAAAGTTAACACTCCCCACTAACCATCAAGGCTTGATTAACAACACTCTTGGATTGAGGTTTTCTATGATGGTACACCCACTCAGTTCTTGCTTCCCATATAGACCAAAATAAGAAAGCCAGAATGGACATGTTGCCTTGATTTCCATTGTTCTTTTGAAATTGTAGTTAGGTCATAAGCCAGTTTTCAATCTATTGATCCGAGCTTTGTCTATAGAGATGCTCAATGGGAAGGATTGACATACATACATGGTCCAGGGACATAGTAACAACAAATGCTCCAGAGTCTCCTCCTCTTCTCCACAGATAGGACACATTGGAGTGTTTGATAACTTTCTCTTCCATATTCGTGTAAAAATAAACATGTTCCAAATCTGAATTGTATAACGTTATTGCTAAATAGCATTTGTTATTACATTATACAATTTGGATTTGGAATGTCTTCATTTTAAATTTCGTGGTCTTTGGTGAAATTTAATAGTTGACCATTACGCTTATTGGGTATTATTGAATATGTAGGAGACCTGTAAAAATCAATTAATCACAAGATCTCAATCTCAAATTTTATCAATTTAATAAAGAAAATTAAATTCATTGTCATTGTTGGAACACTTCTCTCAAAATCAACTGATTTTTTTTGCGAACAACTAGCAGTATTCTTTCCCAGCTTTTGCCTTATTCTTGCATGAAACAAGTGTATATTCGTGTATTGGAAAGGTTCAAGTATGCTCTTACTGGTGGAGAACCTAGTGGTTCCATCTAAGTTTAGAGTAAGTGATCTGCCATTGAAAAAAATTGAAGAAAAATATATCGAAAATATCATATGCTAGCTTAATTTGAGGAAAAGTCCAAGCACCAGTGTTAGGAGAGCCATCGCATACAAGGTACAAATCTTAAGACATCATATTTGATCCACCCTAAAACCAGTGCCACACAAGAAAGATCCATAGGACTTTAACATATACCAGGAAAATTGCATTTTAGACGAATAAAGTTCAGTCGGTACATAAATAGTCAGCGAGTAGCTCTTGAATGTTCGTTCACTTGCTAAAAGTTAAAGAGCACACCCATTTAGGAACATTTGAAAAGGGTAAAGAGATCATTGAAGTGAAATTCTACACCCAAGTCCAGTTTTTTCTTGGACTTCAATTTGGTGGTGGTGCAGGTGCAAGAAAGTAATATCTATTTGGATTGCTGGTTGGTGCTGGTGGGGGTGATGGTTGCTTTCTTTTTATGCTTGGAAACCACATGGCCTTCCCCATGAATTTGGAACCCCTTTCGCAGCCGTAAACTAGCTTTCGGGGTTGGCCTTGGTAGCTTGAAATCGACCATGAGCTTTTCTTTCCACCTTTGAAACCAAAAGAAAAATGAACTAGATCAAAGATGATCGCAAGGTGTTCTAACGTGGACACCCGGTAGAGAAATACAATTTCTAGTTCTTTTTTTTACAGTTTTGGGCCTCTATACAATACTATGTCTGTTTGGGGGAGGCTGGCTGCAATGCTGGGGTTTGAAATTATTGATGCAGAGTCTCCTATGATAAGGGTGAGGAGGATGTGCAGGGTGTTTAAGAAGCAGAATTTGTGTCATGGCTTGTTAAGCAGTATTTCTCTGTTAGTCTACTGGCAGCTTTGGAGGGAGGTGTAGAAGGGTTGCTGGTGAGGGGCATTTACATTCTTATTCTGTTGTCATGAGAATTTGTAGTATTATGGGGTATCAAGTTAAAAATGTGAGAGCTAGGGTGCAAGAGGATGAGTTTGGTAGAGATTGTTTGCTTATGTTGAAGATTAAGGCTTCTTATCATATGTTTAAAAGATCTTGGTGGATATGTTGGGCATGTCCTCCTGCTGGACTCCTCAAGATGAACACGGATGGGGCATCCAAGGGAAATCCTGGGTTGGCTGGTGGGGGATCTGTTTTAAGGAATGAGTGGGGAGGGGTTGTGCTAGCTGCTTCCTTCTTTTATGGGGAGTGCACTAACATGTATGCTGAGTTTAGAGCTTTGTTAGATGGTTTGCTCTTGGTGAGGAGATATGGTTTACTTGCCAATAAGATTTTGGTGGAATCAGATTCACTGTTGCTGGTCAATACTGTGATGGGGAAGTGTGAATGTGCATGGTCCGTTCTTGATTTATTAGGACAGATCAAGGGTATATTGGGATCAGCTGATTTTGAGCTGAATCATGTTTACAGAGAGGCTGATATGGTTGCTGATAGGCTGGAAAATCAAGCAGTTCAGGATAGGCTTTCGACTGATTTCTCAGCTGACCTAATTCTGCCCAGTGCTGTGCAGTTGGTCCTGCTGCAAGATTCAAGGCTGCTGCCTGTTCTTCGACAAAAGATGATGCTGATGTATGATGATAAAGGATGAGGTTGGTGGTTTGGTTCCAGCTGTGATGATTGGATGCAGGATTCAGGTGGTATTGAAGCAGTGGAAGCGGGTTTATGACTCTGAAGGAGAGGATGTTCTTTGGTTTTTATTGTTTTGAAGGATTAAAGCCTTCAAAGTATGGACAAGATGGCCTCTTCTATGATTTTTTCAGGATCTGGGTATCCATGAATCCTTTGAAGTTGCTGCTGCATCATCAGCAAGGAATCAAGATATTCAAGATTCTGTCATTTTTTGATTCTTTGTAACATGTTTTGTATTGATTGCTTTCTTGTAATTTTTTTTGAAAAATGAAATAAATTCTGGTTTCTCAAAAAAAAAAAAAAATACTATGAATGAGTCAAAATGAGATTACCTAGGACCAACGAGGCAGAACTGCTTGTAATGCCCGCAAGTGATAGGAAGACAACCAGCAATGCTGCATTGAGCTTTGTCACAAGATAGCTTTTCATAGCTGTCGTCTAATTTCTTTGTTCTCTGCAGTTTTTTTTGCCGGTGTTCGCAAATGTTTCCCAGTTTCACAAAGCAAGATTGCATAGAAATCTAGAGAGATCTATGAAAGGCATTGTAACAGTTTGATCTGGAAACTGAATTGCTGATATCAAAAACCAAAAAGAAAAAGGAAAGAAGAAACCAAGGAAAAAAGTTGGAGTTCAATGTGTATTTAGCAGAAGAGGCCATAGACGATGGAACTAATGATTTCTATGTGAACATTGTTAAAGCCATAGATATTGTCCAGTTAGACCTTCAGTTATCATTATTTTTTCTGGGTTTTGTTTGAAAGGGTCTATGGGTAAAAACATTGTCATTGGAATCAATTTGGCTTCTACCTCTACTGAAACCACCATAACAACTTGATAATTAATTATTAGAACTGATCCTCAGGTCTATCTGAGGTATAGCTTTTGACATTTTCAATTGTAATTAGTGGACAACTAGACTAATGGTATCACTATCGCAATGAATATTTGCTCCTAGAGCACACATCTTGTCTTTGAAATTACAGTACGTCTTTCATGAATCAATTTGTATTATACTTGAAGTTACAACTCGGTATTAAACATGGCCGTATCTGTCATTGGACCATAATTTGAAGACTTAGTGTGATGATCAGTTTTTTGCCGTGAAAAAACAGGTTACAAAAAGAGTACATCCGTCCGGCAAAGAGGAAAAGAAATATGATCAGTCTTTTGTGAAAGTATTGAATCTACAATTTGATTAAGAAAACCTCTTTCTCAATTCTAATCTCATCTCTAAACAAAGTATTGATGGTTCAGTGGTTGGAGGTTGGACCCCTCATAAGGTTGCATAACTAATACAAGATGAAGAAGGGCATTATTTCCTTTTGCACTTTGAACCTTTTCTATCACTTTTCTAATGGTTTGATAAATCAAATTTGATTTGCTATAATCATAATATTAAAAACACAACTTGCCAAATAAGCCAAGATCCATTCTCCCAATGAATATCTTTTCTCCAAAAGACTCTTGTGAAATAATTATGGTAAAGACCCTTTCTCTTTCTTTTTTGTCTTTGTTCCAAAAAAGTTGTTTAACCAAATTTGATTTGCTACTCACAACATTAAATAATTAAACATAAAACAACTAAGTCGTCAAATAAGTCAAGATCCAATTATCCAAAGAAAAGTTTGATTCCAAGACTTGTTTAATCAAATTTGATTTGTTATAATTGTCGTGCCAAGAGAGAGTACCCGATATGATCGACAATAATTATAATGACAATAATCTTTCTTGCTCTCTTTGCTATGCAAGACCATGTGTTTGTTATTAAAACAATATTTTATTTTAGGAATAGTTCTTTTACCAAACAATGGAGGATCTTCACCCATGGATCAATGGCTAATCCAATGATAAAAGTAGATTTAATTAACAAATTTAAGTAATGAATTCATCCAAACAAAACTTATACGTGTAGAACATCTTCAACCTTCACAATTTTTTTAAACTCGAACTCTTAAATTTATACCCTGAACCTAGTCTTAACCCAAGTTGAACATTGAGTTACAATGTGCTTATACACTGAAATGACCATATTAGCCTCATTTGGGTGAATACCCTCGTCATTCTGAGAGAGGGAGAGAGAGTTTAGAACAAAATTCACCAGTCACATGAAAACGACAGTGACCCGTGTGACAAAGCCACAGAAGACGAGGATCCTCAACCTCAAGGGCCTTATATCTACCAAGAACTCATAGTTTAAAGCTGAACCACACCTCTTGCATATGCTTTATCCCAAACTCCTAATAAGGGCAAAATCCAATAATCCATCTACTATTTCAGTGGTTGTGGTGTTGCCTTCGAATTCATGTCTTTCCACATTGCCCCCACATATAATATTCCCTCTGAAACACAATTACTGTCTTTCACTTGCACTTTGGGCCTCTCAGAACTCTTGGCTCCAGCTCGAAACCTGTCTCAGAGGCGAGCTTCAAAGGTACCAGCAAGACTAAAACTATCTCAATAATAGAATTTAAATGCATATTACATTGATGTCCAGATTGGGCTTGTTTGGAATATACGTGCTTTTATATGGGTATGGGTAGTATGTTGTTGATATAATAATTCAATTTCGGTATGCATATCAGTGTACATATCGTTGATTTGCCTTTTTTATTTCTCTATTCTTTTATGATTGTGGGTTTGTTCAATTGAGATTAGCTGTTTAATGAGTTTGTCTGATTTTAGTGAGTGAACTAAAAGAACACTTTCCTTCAGGAATTGATTTGCTGTCTCTTTTCTCCCTTTTCCTTTTTTTTTTTCCCCTTTTGTTTTAGTTCCTTGTCAGATTTGCAACTTGAGAGATGTGTTGTTTTTGAACCAATTCTAATTCCTGACTCTAAATGTTTACTGTTAATTGCGTTATCTTTTCATATTTTTCATCACAATTTTTTATTGATTCTGTCAAATATCTTTGGAAAATTTCAGGCTATGAACTGAGGTCCTAGGCTGTTGCTTTACATCCTGCTGTATTTTTGGGGGCTTTTTAGGTTTATAGGAAGATAGCTACAGCATCATGTCATCTAAACCATTGGACTATGAGAATTTAAATGAAAATGTGAAGAAATGCCAATATGCTGTCAGAGGTGAGTTGTATCTCCGAGCTTCGGAGCTTCAGAAGGAAGGGAAGAAGGTATGTATGTATAGTTGCTTTGTTGCGATCTTGTTTGATGGCTGTATTTAGCTTGTTATGAAATTTTGTGGGTGGTGGAGATTTAAGCTAGATTTTTTTGTTTGTTTTACTTATCAGAATTTTCGATTAAAGATACGAGATTTAATTATTTTCTCAAAGACAATTTTATAGGATGTATGTGCGTCTGTCTAGGAGATAATATTTACTAATGGGTTATTCCTGCAACAAATATAGTACTGTAAGTGTGGTATTTGACTATTTTAGACTTAGCAGATCATGACAGGGTGTGACAAAAGTGGTCTAGTATATTACTAGGTTCCAGACAATTTTTTTCATATTACATTTGTTTTTCCTCACTGCATGTTTTTGTTGTCTCTCAATGCTGAATATTTTCCTGCAGATTATATTCACAAATGTTGGCAATCCCCATGCCCTAGGACAGAAGCCTCTAACTTTCCCTCGCCAGGTTCATCAAATTTCAATATTTCTGTTTCATGATTTTATATCTTGCAGCAAGCTTTCTTTCACAACTTACATTCTTGGTATTGTTGATTGGATTCTTGTACATGTAGGTGATATTCTAATGGAAAAAATACTGTATTGTAGGTGGTTGCTCTTTGCCAAGCACCATTCTTGCTGGATGATCCTAATGTAGGACTTGTATTCCCTGCTGACGCAATTGCAAGAGCTAAACACTATCTCTCAATTACCTCGGGGGGTTTAGGTATGTACTTTGACAATACCTTCATTTCAGTTGTTTTGGATCAATTTTTTTTTCATCTTTATTTTTTGTTGGAAAGTGTTGTTGGGGTTGGGGGTTGGGGGTTGGTTTCATATAAGATAAAAAGAGTGAACTATAGTTACACCAATTTTTGTTGTTTTAAGATCCTTCATACTTTAGTGTCTCTCTCTACCCTAATATATTCTGTTTTAAACTTCGTTATTTCCCCTTCTATTGATTCATTTTTTCTTGGGGTGGGGACAGCGGAGTTAATTTGGTAGAATACTTGAGAAATCACCATATGAAAAGTGCCTTTTGCAAGCTTGTCGGTCTAGCAACAAATATCATTTTTTTCAAAGGAAAATAATCCTGATCTTCTGTCTTGGTTAAGCAAAAGTCACGCATGCAGTTATATCATGGAGTATTAATAATCTCTTTATCAATTCTGTGCTTCTCATCCTTTTCTCAAGTGCTGCCATCAAAGTTGATTGATGCATCCCATTAATTTTAGGATTATTCTTAGGCTTGCCGAATTAGATTTATCATCTCAACTCTTTACTTTTATCTCATCTTATTTTCATCGGTCCCTGGTGAGTTCTTCTCCTTCGAGCATAACTAATTTCAGAGTTAATTTGTAAAGTTTTCCCGTTAAATGCTTTAGAAGAGGGAACCCTCTATATGAACTACAAAGTGAATAACAAATACTCCTTTTCTTAATAATTAGGTGCTTACAGTGATTCGCGTGGCATCCCTGGAATTAGGAAAGAAGTGGCAGAGTTCATTGAAAGGCGCGATGGATATCCAAGGTGCTAATGCTTGCTGTTATATTTTAGATTTCCGACACTTATTGCCAACAAAAGTTGTAAATTTGGTTCTGGGTTTTAAAAACTGACTCTGTTGCTTACCTTTCGCTTCGATCACAGTGATCCAGAACTTATATTTCTCACAGATGGTGCCAGTAAAGGAATAATGCAGATATTGAACACTATTATTCGTGGAGCAGGTGATGGGGTAATGTACTTTCTCTCAAGGGCTTTCGAACATACTTTCTTCTTTTACTGAGCATGATTTTTCCTTCATCATCATGTCCTCCTCCCTCAAAGTCCCCTGCCCCTTTTTTGTTTGTTACCTAAGGGGAATTTCACCAATATCCTTCTTTTATTTTAATATATTCTTAAATTATGCCAGATTTTGGTTCCAGTTCCACAGTATCCACTTTACTCAGCTACAATATCTTTATTTGGTGGCACTCTTGTTCCATATTACCTTGAAGAGACAGCAAACTGGGGTCTTGATGTTATTGACCTTCGCCAGTCAGTTGCACAGGCTCGCTTTAAAGGGATAACGGTAAGTATTTTGTTTGTTTTGATAAATGGAAGGTAACAGACTTGACCTTGCTAGTAAAATTGACTGGCTAGACTTTTTAATTCGTTGGTTCAAACTGGTTGATAGGAATCTTAAAAAGATATTTCATCTAGGCTGGTGATCCCTTGGTGCCTAAGAAGCACGGACACGGACACCCTCATGTGATAAAATAAAAATATTATCCTAATAATATTTTAATTCATACTTTCCTTAATTCTAAAAATTCACATCATGATATCACTGCATAAAAAATATAATATAAGATATGTTGATACACATTCAACATTAACATCCGTGATCCAACAATAAATGTCTACTATCACTAATTTTCATTAATTTTAAAGAGCTCCAATTTTGTAATTCTTTTTTTTTTTTCACATTACTTTCATATTAAAAGTTTATTCCATTTGTATTTGTATCAAAAATTATGTTCCATTCATTTTCTATGTTCAATATAATGATTATAATTTCTTTTATATTATAACTGTAACTCATATCACTTTAAAATTACAAAAATAACTCTTAATTATAAAGCTATTTAAAAAGTTCTCAAAAAATTAAGGGTTAATTGCACTGGAGGTCCTCAAAGTATGGAGTTTGTCTTATTTTGATTCAATTGCATTATTTTGGTCCCTGAAGTATTGAATATATTTCTATATGATTCTTCAAGAAGACAACATTCAGATTGTTAATGATATTTAATCATAAACTTGTCACGTAATACTTAAATATGGATAAAAAATAATTTTGATAGTTCTTAAACAAAATTTGGATAGATCTTGACAAAAAATGTGTAATATGGGTAGTTTTTTACCAAAATTGGGATAACTCATAATCAAAACTGTGTCTAGCTAGATATAGTACTATCTATCCTCTTTCGTTTGATTGTCCTATTCCTGTTAGGAGAATCCTCCTACTGGTATGTTTATATTAATCTTGAATGCCTTATAATGAGTTATATCTTCCGGGTCTTGTTTTGTCTTAATAAAATCTCTATGAGTGACTCATCTTTTTTTTTAATGCTTTTGAGTGGTTAGTCTTTACTCTATCTCTTTTTGTGGTATAAGGAGGAGTTTGATTCATAGAGCTAGATGTAGCTACTTGAGTGGAATGTTTTTCAGATGTTGATTGGGCTGGTTCTTTTGGTCAAGAAGTATCCAAATTATTATTTTTTTCCATATTTAAGTATCACCTAACAAGTTTATGATAAAAAATTGTTAACAATCTAGACGCTGTCTGATTGAGAGACCATATAGAAACATATTCAATACTTTTGGGACCAAAAGGATACAATTAAAATATTGGAGGCCAAAATGGGACAAACCCATACTTTCGGGACCTCCCGTACAATTAACCGAAAAATTAAAAAAAAATCTCAAAACTTGTCTCCCGGCTCGTCGGCCGCGTGTTTCCAACGTATCCTGAAAAAAATTTAATAATAAAAAAATTGGGCACTCATTTTAGAGTGTCCGACATGTGTCCCAAACCGACACTTTGAAGTGTCCATACTTCCTAGCTTGGTGCAATTAGCGTATTCATATGTTATCTTGTGTAACAGCAATGAAAGTTTGTCCACTTGAAAAAGATGTTACTGTATTCATGTATCATTCTTCACGGTGTATACTTATTAGGTGAATATCTGACTTTTGTCCACCTAATAGATTTTAATTTTTTTGTATGAGTAGGTACGAGCAATGGTGATTATAAACCCTGGAAACCCTACCGGACAGTGTCTTAGTGAAGCTAATCTGAAGGAAATATTGCGCTTCTGTTACCAAGAAAACTTAGTCCTGCTTGGAGATGAAGTATATCAGCAGAATATATACCAGGATGAGCGGCCCTTTATAAGTGCACGGAAGGTATACATTCTTATGCTTTCACATTAAAATCTTCTCAATTTCCCTGAGATCTTAAAACTTTTTCCATCTTTTCTTTTGGCACTGGAAGGTTTTGATGGACATGGGCCCACCCATAAGCAAGGAGATCCAGCTTGTTTCTTTTCATACTGTGTCCAAAGGATATTGGGGTGAATGTGGACAGCGTGGTGGCTACTTTGAGATGACTAATATATCTCCAAAGGTTTGCCTTGCTGTATTTATGAGGAATACTTTCATGTTATTCTAGTACTGCAAAGTCAGGCATTTATTGAAAATTTTCGGCCTTTGCGAAGTTTAAATGATATGACAGATTTGTTTTATTGAGGTTTTGAGAAATATATAGAGTAGATTTCCTGGGAAAATGAAATTACCGTAGACATGTAGATTTATGGTTGCAATATGTCACAAACATGACAATTTTGTAAACAAAATACCTGCACATCTTTCTAGTCAGCACCGAGTGTGACTGCTTCATGCGATTCTGTTGTATTGTTCCTTAGAATATGAACTCATGCTCATTAGGGTTCTTTGCTACCCTCGGTAGTCTAAATATATAAACTTTTTCATTCTTATTATGATGTGCAGTCAGTTGAGGAAATCTATAAGGTTACATCGATATCGCTGAGTCCCAATGTCCCCGCCCAGATATTTGTAAGTTGTTTTGGATTATTTCAATATATCGAGTTTTAATTTGCCAAGTGAAATTGGTTTGCTCTATACATCGTCTCTCTGTATTTTTTTATTGAGAAATTTATGTTATGAATTGTGATTTAGTTCTAATAAAAAAAAAATCTGATTTAGTTTTCATTGAACTGGTAGTCTTACTACCCCTTTTTAAACTATTTTTCTGCTTGGGGAAATAATTGTTTTTTGTCCTTTTACAGATGGGACTAATGGTCAACCCACCTAAACCTGGAGATATCTCATATGAGAGGTTTGTTAGAGAGAGGTAAGACTGGTATACTTAGACCCATATAGGTCAGCCCTTCACTTCTTTGCTGAAGTTGTTGAAATCAACAGAAATACCCTTATGACAGTTGTAGAGTACGATCCTGATTTGTCCTTTTTAGTGCTACTATTTTCAAAGAATGTGTGTTCTACGAGGGCAATTGTCCAAGAAAAAAACTACTTTCAAGTTTTGTTCTTTTTTTCCTGATTTTGAACAGGTGCAATAGAGGACATGACAAAAAGAATAAAAAGGATTTGACATTATCAAAGTTTGTTTTGAGCACACTAATTAGTTTGACATGTTCAAAGATTTGGTTTGGAATCTTTTACTTTTCTGTCACATGATTAGGAATGTAAGATTATAGGACAATGTGTATGCTGAAATCTTTTGATGCATCCAATCATGATTTCTTTTGGGTGGTTATAATGATGTTCATTTAATCATTGTTAAAAAACCATCTATTTCAACAACACTTAAGATTTTAGAGAGGGTGTAACTTTAGTATTTATTTTTCAAGACGCTCCCTCACATGCAAGTTAGATTTTGGGCTTAGTACGTTGAAATCTTTTAATAATTAGGGTGGCGGCAAGATTCGAACATAAGATCTTCTGCTCTAATATTATGTTAAATAATATCTATTCCAAAAGCTTAAGCTTTAGAGATGGTGTAACTTAAATATTTATACTTCAACAATCATGAATGCAGCAAAGGTATCCTCGAGTCACTGAGGAAGAGAGCACATATAATGACTGATGGATTCAACAGCTGCAGAAACGTGGTTTGTAATTTCACAGAAGGTAAGCCTTTTCTGAGTGAACTTTTCGGTTTTTCAAACTGTGTATTTAATTCTCATTTATGAGGAAACGATTTCAGGTGCCATGTATTCCTTCCCACAAATACGCCTCCCTCCAAAAGCAATAGAGGCTGCAAAAAAAGCTGGGAAAGTTCCTGATGTTTTCTATTGTCTTAAGCTCTTGGAGGCAACAGGCATTTCCACTGTCCCTGGCTCAGGATTTGGGCAAAAGGAAGGGTAATTACTTACCCATCTCTTCCTCGCATTTGATGCCGTTTTCCTTCCATTTTTTTATCACGCTTAATAAGCAGTGTTATCATAACTGAACTGGACATCGAGCCGGTAGAGGGAGTGGGTCAATGGTTTACTGGTTCAACTGATCAAACCGGTCATATAATAAAAAAAATTATACAACATAATAATTTAGATAAAAATTCACAATCACAATAAAAAAATTGACTGCTAAATGTGTGTATTAACTGTGTATTGACCGTGTGCGTGTGCACACGCGTGGAGAGAGAGGATAAAAAGAAAGCATAAGAAAAAAAATGGAACCCAGCTGGCTTTTGGGTTGCAAAAAGAAAAATAAAGGGGAAGTGGCAGAAGGGATTTAGCCATCTATGGCAAGCCAAGACGGAGAGAGCGAGAGGGGGGGGGGGGGGGGAAGAGGAGAAGAAGACTGGCAGCTTAGATCTGGAAGAATCAGAGACGGAGAAGACAAAGGGGATGGTATTTTGCTTTGAACTGACTTGGTTTAGGAATAGTTCGGTTCACCAGTTTTGGTAGTTCTCCAGCGGTTCAATTACCCAGGTGGTCTTTTTAATGAACCGGACCGGTTAAGGTCCAGGTTCACTGGTCCGACCGGCCGGTCCGGTTTGGTTCTGATAACACTGTTAGTAAGCGTTAACATATCCCCAAGGAGAGAACAATGATGTTCAAATTCAAAAGACACATTGCAGCTAGCACACCCAATCATATTCAATCTTTCCTTTTATAATTTGTTAAGTTGTTTTTCAGTGCAAATTTGGAATGCATTACCTTATGCTCTGTTGACTACTACATACTATGGTAAAAGTACTGAAAATTTTAGTGGAATGGTTTCTTATGTGATCAACCTGAAGGGGCAAAAAGGGGGGTAGTTCTGTGGTTCTATTATTGCAATTTCAGTGCATTGTCTGACGGGTTGCATTTTCTTTATAGGGTCTTCCACCTGAGGACAACCATATTACCAGCTGAGGAAGACATGGCTGCGATCATGTCGAGTTTCAAGAACTTCAATGACGCGTTCATGGAACAATATGAAGATCACAAAGGCTATTCACGGATGTAAAGGATACTTGAATATCCTTCTTCGTATGATACCATTCAGCTATTGCACGATATTTGATGTATACTCCTCGAACATAATCTTTTTTTTTTTCCCCTCCATAACTTACTCCTCGAAAATTTAGTGCACATTGAATTATGCAATTAATAACTGATATAGATAAACGTATGGTATGGATTTGCATATGATAGTCTTACATAAAAAAATAAACCAGATTTAAAAAAAGAGAATGCCTTCTAATTGCTTGGTAAAAATTCGATAAAGAATAATATTATTCAAACTTAATTTGATAACATAATCATTCATAATCGGTCTAGTATTTGATAGAATTTGTTATAAATTCAATATTTATGATGATTAAGTCAATAAATTATGTTTAAATAGTATCATCTTTATAATAAAGTACAATACAATTTAAATTTCAAAAGATAAACAAAATGATTTTTACTTTTTGCGGTTGAGATGTACTTAAATTTTACTTTAAAGTTAATCCGACGGCTAATATTAACATCCCAAATTTAATAGAGAAAATAGTCTTCTAAGGATGTGTTTGATATAATTTTTTAAAAGTGCTTCTAGAATTTATAACTTTTTATAAATACTTTTAAAAAAAAAATTGTGTTTGGAACTATCTCACAATCATCACCACCATTACCCCACCATCATAACTACCCCCAACACCACCATTACCATCACCACCACCACCTCTGTCACAACAACCACCACCATTACCCTTCACCCGCCCCATCATCACCACTATCACTATCCTCATCTCCCCCATCACCACAATTACCATTGCTGCCATCACCCTACCACCACCACCACCATTGCTACAACCTCATCACCACCTTTTCCACAACAACTATCACCACCGCCCTACCACCATTACTATTACCATTATTATCGTCACCCCCCACTACCATCACTGCTATTATTATCACTGTCACCCCATCACCACCACACCACCACATCTGCCATAACAGCCACCACCACCACTATCATTGTCGCCAACCCTCCACGACCACCACACTCATTGCCCCACAACCACTGTCACAACTACCATCACCCTCATTGCCCCACCACCACCACCACCACTATTGCCGCCACCCTACCATCACCACCGCCACCCCACTACCATCACCCCACCAGTGCCCCCATCCCCACTACCACCACTACCACCATCATCGCTGCTACAACCTTACCACCATCGCCACTATCCCACCACCCCCACCCTGCCCCTACCACTATTATCACCATTGTTACCCACGACTGCCACCATCACAATCGATCGTCATCGCACATCACAACTATCACTGTCTCCCATCACCACCACTGCCGCCCACCACCACAAACATCGCTCGCCCCTACCATTACTCCCACCCACCACCACAATCACTACTTATCCCCTACTACAATCGGTACTTAAATTTTTTTCTATCTCCTCTATGTTTGTAATTTAATTTTAGGTGTGAATACAAATATGTTTATTTTTGACTTTTTTTTATTACTCCATTCCTTCAGGCATAGAAAATAACTAGTTATTCAATAAAACACGATGAGTTGATATGAAAAACAGAGTGAAATCCCATCTAATACACTTTTTCTTTAATTTTCTTCTTGGTACACATCTACTGGGCACTCAAACGAGACCCATTGCATACAAGTAGGTCTTCGCTCTTTAATGGTGGATGATGTGCCAATAAGAGAATTGAAGATAAATTGAATCAAAGGGAATTTGGATTCGTAAAACTATCTAAAAAACTTGACAAGAAAAGAAAAAAGAAAGGTGGTCAAAACTAGGGGTATTAATCGAGTTGAATTTTGCGAGCTTAAATTAGAGTCTATCGAGCTCATTTTTTCAAATGACTTTAAAAAATTGTTCAAACTCGATTTGTTTAGAACTCGAGTCGGGGCCGAACCCAAATCGGGCCCAAGTAGCTCGACTATTTACATTTAAACGAGTTTTGCGAGCTTGAGCCGAAACCTAAAATAAATTATTCAAGTTTAACTCATTTAATATATAAATTAAACTCGAATTGAGTAATATCCAAAAATAATTAAACTCAATTAGCGAAAACCCCCGGGAGGGGATTGGGTGGGAAATATTGACATAAAACGAGGAGAAAACCAGAAATCAAGCTTTTGACGGCTGGAAATACAAAACGATTGGCAACAAAATCCAAGTCAATATCATCAAGTCAGTGCCTGCTGCCCGCGGTCAGCAATTTTCACGGGCCCCTTTATACTCTCTTCGCTAGGTTTAGGCTTAGCCTTTAAGCTTCTTTCGCTTAGGTCACGGTTTCCTCGGGTTCTCTATCTCTCTCTCTCTCGCTGTGTGTAATCTCAGAACATTCACCTTCTTCCTCATTTAAATATTTTTTTTACTTATCTCTCATGTCTCCTCACCTCCAACCTTCCTTAAAAAAGGTTCCACAGCAATAAACAAAGACCCTTTTTCACTCCTCGACACTCTCTTTCTATCTTCACTCCAAGATTTTCCTTCTAGCTTCTCTAGATTTTATTCTGATTCTTGCACAGAACCCATTTTTTTTCCTTGTCACTGCTATTTAATTGAACTAGAACTTGATCTTTCTAATGGGTTTGGCAGAGAAGCCTCATCAAATGGATGGAGGAGCTGTGGAATCAGAAGCAAAGAAATGGGTCATTGCCGGAATTCAATTACGAAGTCCGTTGAAGCCGATATTTACCAAGCCACCGGAGAAGGAATCGACCAACGAGGATGAAGAAAAATGTTGCAGAACACCTACAGGTGAAGAAGCGAGAATTCCGAGCAGATTGCCATGTCCACCGGCGCCGAGGAAGCGGAAACCTTCTTCAAGGTGTCATTATAATGGTAGTCGTAGGGAGTTCTTTACTCCCCCAGACTTGGAAACTGTGTTTATTCGCCATTTTGAGAAGGCTTAATTAATATATTCAAAATATGTATGCATTCCTTCATGTTTATTCATGAAAAAAATAAAAATAAATTTACTTATTTTGGAAGCCACTTGATCCACCTTTGTTCTACTCATTTTTTACACTAAAACTTAGCATTATGTTGTCTCTTTCTCTTTCTAGCTCGTTGTTGTTGCTAATAGTCCATGTGCATGGACTCTTCATTTATAAATAAAAGGGCAATTTAGTTTTCTTTTAGTTTCTTGGCTGTGAAACTTTCTTTTCCAAAAACTTCTTAATATGAAAAACAGCAGGTAGCAACTCCAATCTACTCTCTGTCTCTTTTTTTTTTTAACTATTTTAGTTTCTATCGTTTCCTGCTAAGACTACTGGGGTATCTAATCTCATTCACTCCCCTAGCTTTCGTCTCTTAATGTCAGTATCGGTCCAGCAGAGTGCTTTCGCCGTTAGTGTTCTTTTCGATCTCTATGCATTTCACCGCTCCACCAGAAGTTTCCTCTGCCCCTACCGTATTCTAGTTTGGTAGTTTTCATTGCCTGTTCAGGGTTGAGCTCTCTGTTTTACCGCTGCTGCTGACACAGAGTTAGTCGATGTTTATTTCTCAGATGCCGTCATTGCTTCTTCTCCGGGAAAAGAAGTTCATGACCCGTGGGCCTTCTACCTCCACGCAGCATTGTTCCGTCATGCTTTCGCCCATTGCGAAAAATTTTCCACTGTTGCCTCTCGTAAGAGTTTGGGTCGTGTCTCAGTCCTAGTGTGGCTGATCATCCTCTCAGACCAACTACTAATCATCGTCTTGGTAAGTTATTGCCTCACCAACTAGCTAATTAGACGCGAGCCCCTCTTCGGGCGGATTCCTCTTTTTGCTCCTCAGCCTACGGGGTATTAGCAGTCGTTTCTAGCTGTTGTTTTCATCCCAAGGACAGGTTCTTACGCGTTACTCACCCGTCCGCCACTGAAAACACCACTTCCCGTTCATTCAAATGACTCTCCAAATGTGGAGAGTTATTCCGTCTCTCTAAATTCTCTTTCTACTTTTTTCTCTCTACATATATTACAATCCCTTTTAAATTATTACAAGTTAGTGAAAGTTAAGTGAAGTAATTAGTTAAAATAGAGAGCGTGGTTAGAATGAACTTATAAAAGTGACTCTGTAAAATAAAAATTGTAATATTTAAATATATTTTGAGTAGCTACAATGGAGAGTTGAGTTGAAGTTGCTCTAAGAACATCTTCAAATGTACTCTTTATTTTAGAGAATATTTTTTAAAATAGAGAGAATTTAGAGTAAAATATTTTTAACAATTACAATGGACTCTCTATTATAGAAGAAAAATCATCTTGTGGGCAATAACATTTAATAAATAATGGATATGTGTCACCTTGTTATTCATCAATAATAGAATAGATGACTTTGGTTCTCCAAATAGAAAGCCTATTAAAATTTGATTTTTGTTAATTGACTCTCTAAAATAGAGAGTTGAGTGGGAATAGAGAGTCTCTTCGAGTTGTTCTTATATTTCCTTATGACTGCTAACCCATCCCAGTAATTTGAATTTGGTTTGGTCTAGTTTGCTAAAGTTCGTTAAGTATTGTAGAATGAAGTGAAACAAATAAAATTTTTATGCTCATTTTGAAATTGAATCAAATTTAAGTAACATGTGGTTCTAGCCGTTTGACACAACTCTAATAGTTTGTAGATATATAATCTCAAACTTATCTCTAATTAATTATAAAATTTTATGCTTTCTCCATCTCTCTTTTCCTTAATATTTGAAAGTTTGGTTTTCAAATTCAACTAGAATGTCCACAAACGTTTGGTTAGTTGAGCTTGATAAAGAATCTAAACTTGGACGATTGAGCAGTAGAGTTCGAGCACAGTTAACCACTTATAAGGTTGCTCTAGTTCACAAAGTTGCAAGAAAAAATCTTTAAGAAGCCAAACATGGCTACTCTAAATCCTCTTTCACCTCTTCTTCTGGTTCTTGTTCTCCTAATATCCATCAAGATTGAAAATGTCCAAGTACATGCACTTGTCAAATCTAGGTAACTCTGGCTAAGCCAAAAGTTGCCAAACAAGAGGTAAAAAGGATAAGGAATCCTTTTCATGGCATGAGATGCTTTGAAGGCTTAAAGCTGATTGACTCTGACAAATCCCTCATAACCCTCGAGCCGTATCTCCTCAATAATAATCTTTTATGCTCCCTGTCATCATCCTCTGCGCTTTATTAGTCTTTTGATATGTCCCACAAACAGTGACTCTTCACCCATCTAGGACTCCCTTGTCAAAGTGGAAAAGTTCTGTGTAATGCTTTTGTGATGAGTGGAGGCAAAAGACAAAATACTGGGGAGTTTTGGATGAGAATCCAATGTGAGGTGCATTGACACTAATTACATTTACTTTCAAGCTTAATGTTTATTGGGGTGTCAAATTTATCCATTGTCATAAACGAGACTTGATTTAAAAAATGACACGACCCATATATATGAATAGAAAATGAAATAGAGTAGTAGTAGACATAAATAACCCTTTTAGCTAGTGTTATGAGATGAAAATAAGTATTTAGTTATTACTTCAAATTTGTTTTCAACCTTAATTGTGTAAATGCATTATTAAAGCCAAATTCAATCGAGCTCAATTTTTATATAAATTTTGGATGAAGAGTTTTATAACTTAAATTTAATCGCCCTAATCAATCTCTTAATTCCTTCAACCGACTTGACTTTGGCCCCAAATTTATCACTGACAACCCTTATTTTAGTTATTATTTATTTTGGTTTAAGGATGTGGGTCAACTTATGTGTAATTTTATTAATTTTTTGTTTAGTTCGGTCAAAGATAAGTCATTTACGTAGTGACTAAAATATTCGTAAGAGATAAATCTCTTATTATTTGATTATAAAAAATTATTAAAATTTAAATTCAAAACGCGTGAATTTATAATTTTTCGATATTATCCCACGACCTTGATCAAACTCCCCATTAGTTATTGAGTGGGAACGTGCATGATCAAGAGGACCATTTTTTTAAAAGGAGTGACAAGATGTAGTTCACCTAATCTAGAGTTCTTTTTACTTTTCCCAAAAAAACACAAAACCAAAGTTTCTTTTTGTAGGAATAAAGAAAGCTTCCTCGGGATCGGAGTTCTAAGGAAGCAACAGGGTTTCAACACTTCGAACAAAGACTACTACAAGTTTTACTTGGGAAGTTAGTGGGTCTCTCTTGGATTGGATAACTTATTAAAGCCTTTAAGTTTGATTCAATTATTGGAGACAGCTCATAAAGGAGTACTTCATAAGTGCTTAGCAATCACTTCAAAAAAAAAATATGACCTTAGCAAACCCTACCTTCCATGTATTTTTTAATGGTTAATGATGGGACATTTTTAAAATACTCAAAGATGAAGACACATGTCCTCGATGTCACTAATTCTTGTTATTGAGATCACATACCCATCGGTTCACAAGCCTCTCTCTCTTTCTCTCTCGAGATATTTGTCAGAGATCAAGTAACATCCAGTACGTTTACGTACCGACACGTATCCCTCGGTCTGATATGGTACATCGGTCGCTATATGCACCTCCCCTCTCGGCTCCGAGATGTACCAAACCCCTCGGTGCCGATATATACCAACGTCCAGGATGACATTCTCTTCTCCTGCAGATGTACATGTCACTAGCCTAGGCTAGGCTAGGTTAGCTATCATGACCTCGTCTTACACAATTGGTGTCAGAAGGCACAGGAAGGCAGGGGCCACAGCCAATGGGGAATGGACGCGTGACATATTGTGTCACATCAGAGACAGAAAGACCGCATGCCCTTGCTGATACATGACTTGGGAAAGCAAGCATTTAATTACACCATTCCCTTGATGAGACTGCATTCAATGCGGTAAGGCTCGGAAGTGAAAGACAATAAATGTCTCTAAGGCTGGACATTTATTGCATCCTCCCCGAGAGGAGCTCATTGAACATTCGGTAGCCCGATGACACAGCACTGGTTGCTCGGGATCCCGAGCATTTAATAGAGAAGACATTCCTCGTAGGAATCAGTGCGCACGTTGCCTGTATCTAATGATCACCTATTGACTACACTGACAGCAATCATGAGTATTTGAGGTATAAATACTCCTCGCAAAAGGCAAGGTGGTATGCAACAAAAAAACCTTGACGACAATACATACTCAGTGTTTTCTTCTTCCTCTCTCTCAAAAACTGACTTGACCGTCGAAGGGGATACGCTAGAAAATACTCCGGCGCCCTTCTAACTTGTTCTTCTTTGTTCCAGGAATCTTCCTCAGCCTTACTGGATCATTCCGTTGATCCACGAGGGTCTCTCATTACCATTCCAGGTTACCACCGAACCTCGCAGGTTGTTCCAAACAGCAGGGTTGATCATTCGACTGACTCACTCGATCTCACCAAGGGAGAGATCTGTTCTCGTGTGCAAGATCTAGCACGTACAATCTGGCGCCGTCTGTGGAAAACGACTAGTTTTCCTAATTTTTTCTCTATAAAGAACAGTGACCATGGTGAATACTCGACAAAAAGGGAAAGGTCCCCAGCAAAGAAGTTTCGAATTACAAGCTCCATGTCACCATGGAGGGAGGGATCACACTGATGGGAATAAAAATGCCTCTACTCAGTCAAGAGGGGTTACCCCTCAAACCAGTATGAGAATCAGGTCAGGAGGATCAACCCCCTTGGCTCGTCAGCTGGCGGAGGTGATCGAAAAAAAGTTTGGCGATAGATTACGACAGCTGGAAAAGGACAATGTAAACATCCTAAGTCGACTTAATGAATTCGCCGCCTCCGGCAAAGGATCGAGGGACTCATTCCTTTCTCGTGGGCTCCCCGCCCGGAAGGCGGAAACGAAGGATCTAAGGAATCATCTAAACAACAAGGCAGAAAGCTCCAGGGCCCCAAAGCGATCGAGAGCCAATGAGCACCCTCCTAACGAACATTCCAGGAAGGCAAGACCTTTAGCCCTGGACGACCTCCGACGAGGATTATCGAGACGGAGGAAGGGAGATGAATCCGAGGAGGACTCTACCCTATCCACACGGCGCCCAGAAAATGGGGGGCCTAT